ATGATATCCATATTGGCGCCTTTGTTGAGGAGAACCTCGGCGACATTTTTGTGACCTGGAAAAAAATCGGATGAAAGAGATCAAATCAATCGTGTCTTTAATAAGAAAAAGCATTCAACATTACCACCGGATGCAGCTAAATGAAGAGCTGTGCTATTCAAATCATCTCCAATATCAGCGTTAGCCCCATTCTTGAGAAGCACATCAGCGACACCTCCGTGACCTAAAATAATACGGATCAATGGAAGAGATCGGCGGGATATCTTATTTAGTCAACCTTACCATTCATAGCTGCCAAATGAAGAGATGTCTCATTAAAATCATTTTTAATATTAAGATCGTTTGCTTTACGGCTGAGAACTTCAGTGACGCTCTTGTGACCTGAACAATAACACCAATCGATGGGATAAAATCAGGTCAATCTTTTATTCAATAACAATAATTATTCAACGTTACCTTTCTTAGCAGCATAATGCAGAGCTGTCTCATTACAATCATTTCCAATATTAGGGTCGGCTCCTTCAGCGATGAGTCTTTGAGCTTTCTTCATTCTGCCTGAAAGAGTATGAAAAAATATTCATAGATCAATGAAACGGATTGAACAAAACATTCTTTTTTATAAAAAAAATGTCTAAAATTACCATCAGAAGCAGCCTTATGCAGAGCTGTCTCTCCGTTTATGTCTTTTTCGTTTACTAAAATATGTATGAAAAAATTTGCATAAATGAGGTTCCCATATCTTCGTTACAAGTTGCTTTGTATATGGAATTTAAGAGTTAAACTGGATAAATAAATGAAACTTCAATCTTACCGTTCCTCCCGGGTGGTGCTCCGCTCACATCCCCGATTAAGAACTGTGGAAATAGAATCAAAGTGATACATTTGGAATGGGAACAACGGATGAGATTAATTATAAATGTATTAATAACAGTTTTCAATTGTTTTTAGTAGAATAAAAGTTTCCGGTGGACATTTTTTTGGAATAGAAGAATTTTTTTCAATTGAAGAACTTGAAAAAAGGACACTTTTCATTCTTTAAATTATTTCAGAAAAAATTATCACAAATTGTCCACGAAAAGTATCAAACATGAAAAATTTGAAAAAAAATCGGCTGAAATTGTCGATCCACCTCGGATACCATCAAGCTAATGAGCAGCAGTGTGAAAAAACTTCGACTCAGCATTTTTTTAGCTTCGAACTATTAAAAGTTTACTATGAACGTATCAATTGGTAAGAACTGTTTGATGGACATGCGAATCAAACGCATCCTCTTATATACTTTTCAGGTGTGGCCACGTCGGTGGGCAACACACTGTATGATTCAATCCACGTACAATGACGATTCTAATAAAAGCCCACAAAATATTATCGCACACATTTTTCAAGATAACAATGTGAAAACAATTGATGGAATTACAATTCCACCTGTGCGCGTGTGTTTAATTTCGCGTTTCACATCACACGCGTTTTGCATTGAAAATATCAGATGTTTACATTTATTCTTCCATCACCTTCTAGAAACTACAAATTCAATGTAAAAATTTAAAAAGTAAATATTTTTCACTCTCGAAGGGTTGAGTAGTGTTACTATGGCACGTGGCTGTTACAATTTAAAAAAAATTCACATCTTCGATGCATGCAGAAATTCCGTTTCAAAGTCGATCCAAAGTTGACCACAGATAAACCGTCGCTTACATGATGTAAATTAGAATGTGAATGATCAAATGACATGACTCATACCTTTGCGTTACATTCAGGCTCACATGCCATGGTTGCGTTGCTTTGTTCAACAGCTACAGAGTTAGTTGATGCAAGGATATACGGTATCACATTTACTTTACATCACTCAATAAGGTATAGGTAGGATACGATGATATTGATACAAATCTACGCATTCCCTTAAAAAATTACAAGCGAATCTCATACAAAATCATATCCATACTCAGTAACACTTTCCATAGAAATATAGACAGCTCCTCAATTAGTTTCAAATTCCAATGAACACACACGTAAAGAAATACCTACAATCCGATACAAATCACATAAAAAAGAAAAAAATTCTGTCACTGTCGCATTTCGTACCAACACAGCCAACTTTTTGTTTCCATGAAATAAATTCTTCGTAGTGGTAAAAAATCTATGGCACAGATTCGAGAAAAATATCACTAATACTACCCGTTTGTAACTTGCGCTCAACGCGCTTCATAAACGCTTCATTCCGTTTTAAGTATCCATAGTTTACACAGTTCATAGAGCCGAATGAAGCGAATATATACCATATATACGAAATACAACAGAGCGGGATAGCGCGAAATGTACGGAGCCTGTCACATACACACACGCGCACGCTTCGTTTGTATGCGGCGCATAGTATGTGCGACACTTCATACGAATAAGCATGGCGCGTCTGCACATAGAGTATGTGTCACACGCACTCTGCGCCGTATACAAACGAAGCGTGCGCGTGTGTGTATGTGACAGGCTCCATACATTTCGCGCTATCCCGCTCTGTTGTATTTCGTATATATGGTATATATTCTTAGATCGGAATGAGGCTATGATCGGATACTTAGATCGGAATGAGGCGTATATGAAGCGCGTTGAGCGCAGATTACAAACGGGTGAGAAAAAACTTGTTCCGTTTGTGTCAAAGATAGAAAAATGTATTCATTTTATTAAGTTTATCAAGCAATTTTCAAGAAGTTTTTACCTAGCATTGAATTTTCGTTTAAGCTTTACTATCTAAATAAAAAGAATTACATTGGTAATCCCGAACTTTTCCGTACCGTTGGCCTGCGTTGTCTGTAGGTACTTTAGGTTATTTTTTGTGAATTTTCTTGAAATAAAGGCAGTGAAAATATAATAATAAAAATAAAGTGAAAAATTGGTCACTTTAACTAAAACTTCGACAATTTTGTATGAGAGGTACCCGTAAACCGATTCCTATAGGCTTTAAACTTTCTAAGGTTTCTTAGTTTTGTTTGGAGAAAAATAAGATTCTGAAAGTTTCATGTTGATCGTATTTGCAGAAGTTTGGTTTTTGGCCCTCAATTTTTTCCAAGAAAATTTCGACAAAAATTGAGGACAAAAAATCAAACTTCTGCAAATGCGATCAACATGAAACATTCAGAATCTTATTTTTTCTCCAAAAAATGAAACCTCAGAAAGTTTGAAGCCAATCAGAATCGATTAACGGGTACCTCCCATACAAAATTGTCCAAAAATCGGTAATTTTAGTCAAAAAAAAATTTTATGGGAGGTACCCGTAAATCGATTCCGATTGGTTCCAAAATTTCAGAATCACATTTTTCTCCCAAAAATGAAATCCCAGAAAGTTTAGAGAAAATCGGAGTCGATTTACAGGTACCTCTTATACAAAAGTGCCATTTTTTGAGGTTTTTCTTAGGGCAAGTACCCCAGGATCAAATCGAAAATGGCTCATCTTCGAACTCAAACTAAGTTTTTCGAATACAAAACTTTTGGCATTTCCAGATTTTGATTATCTTAATTATTTTTTGAGTTATCGTGTTAACAAACACCAACACCAACGACGACAACGACAACGACGGCACACGAACGGAAAAGTGTCTCAAAAAGTGGTTTTCTACGCGTTTCATGAGTTTTTATGATGATCTAAACCAATTTTGCGAAAAAAGTTTTCGGGACCACCCAAGCGCGACTCCACACTTAGCTTCTAAATGTGAAACCGTAGTAAGTGTGAGCATTCGTTTTGCGAATAAGCGACAAAGACAATGGAAACAAGTGCGCGTGTGGTAGTGAGTAGCCTGATGCGATGCTACTCAATGTAGCGACTAACACACGCGCACTTGTTTCCATTCTCTTTGTCGCTTATTCGCAAAACGTATGCCCACACTTACTACGGTTTCACATTTAGAAGCTAAGTGTGGAGTCGCGCTTGGGCAATTCCTATACTTTTCCTTCACACGTTGTGTACGGAAAAGTAATACGGTCAAACTAGTTATAATGCCATCGTTAGATGGCGTTTGTTCTGGTCAAAAGCTTAAAGGTCCTCCGTGGTGTGCGTTTTTGATATTATCGCTAAAATTTTATTTTATCTCATTAAATCAAGAATATTAAGAAAAGAATTGATTTTGAAATGAAAGCCAATTCGGTCTTTGTTCTAATCGATAATTTATTTGAAATAAATACAGAAATTTCAAGTCATCTTCAGGGCCTAAAAATAACAAATGTTTTGGTTTCAAGGATACTTTGACGATGCAAGCGTAATAATGGGCTTCTCTACATTGGTGGTGACAGTGGGTAAATTAAAAAGCCTCGCATTTCTCAAAGAGTCCAAATCCAACAAAATATAATTCTAATATTTAATACCGTAAGCAATTTAATAGACAAATAACTGGAGTTATTTTTTTGACAAAATATTAATCGATAATCGAGTATGGGCATAGAAAAAAATCATCCGATTATTCAGCAAATTTTGATTTCCGTCACTCAAATTACAACAAATATTTATTATTTTCGTAAATCGCGTTGACCGATTCAATCGAAGAGTTCGTAGTATTTTTTGCATTATCATTGTACAGTCAGCGATCATTGCATTTTTATATTCATTACAGACGCTGTTGATTTGCTCGTCGATATTAGCTACAATCACTTTATTTGTGTATGCCGCCTATTGTTTGCTTTGGATGAATCAATCCGAATATCAGTGGATTTCTTTGATTCCAACCGTGTGCTTTGTATTGATCATTTTCTTCAGCTTGATGGGACAGTTTCCCATACCTTTTATTGTCATGACTGAAATATTTCCAAAAAAGGTATCGAAATTTGCGTGATTTGACTCATTCAGTGTTTTGATTGGAGATTTTCTTTCTTTTATTATATAGATACGACAGTCATCTCTTGCACTAGCCAATTCATTTTT